AAAAATCATAAATTACTATATCAGTACCATAGAATCCCACTATAATTTATCAAGCTTAGTAACTAAGCTGTATATGGGTCTAAAAAATATGAAAGCCACTAGAACATTCTGAGCTTCTGATTGGTTATTCACATGTGATATATTGAAGTGTATATAAGGGACCATTTCCAAAAATGGAAAGTGAGTTGAGCCATTGTGTTTGATTCAGTACAGGAGTGATATCTCAGCAAATAAAAAGGATACAAGGTTCTTATTTTATATTCCAGCTCATCAGTACCAGTAATTATAAGGGTTATTCTGCAGTTAAATGTCATGAAGAGTTACCAAAGCACCAATTAAGAAGTCTTACACATGCACTTAATACAACAAAAACAATGGAGACTTTTCTTAAGAAAAATACATCAGAAGAATTTAAGATTTTGTAGCAGAGGTTACTTGCGAATACCATGCCATAAAGCATCATCATTCATATAATTCACCAGATTGTGGTTTAAAATTTTTCTAAAATTCACAGTGATTCAAATGTTTGTTCTAAGTTTTCTTGTGGAAGAATAAGATGTGAAGCTATTGTTAATGAAGTTCTTGTGCTGAGAGCAACAGAAACATTTATTGAAAGTATAAATCTAAAAACCATGTTTTGCCCTACAAATGGACACTTTAAATAAGAAAAACATAAAATTACCCTCAATATCTGTTCAATTGTTTACATTAGATCATGGTATAGAAACAAAACTGTTATATTTTTTTGAAAACGCAGATGAGAGTACCAACAGAATGTTTGCAACCATAAAGAAAACGCTAGATGATTTAAGACTAGATTTCAAAAACAGATTTGCATTCAGTGCAGATAATACAAATGCTAACTATGGTAGGCACCATTCACTGTTCAATAATTTGAAAATAGCGAATGATAATATTTTAAAGGCCAACTGCCATAAAGTTGGTTTAGATGAATTATCTGTGAACATAGAACTAAAACTATATGGACTTTTTCCATGTCTACAAAAAAAAAAAGATGAGAATAACTGAAAGAAGTTTGTGAATTTGTTGAAACTGAGTTCAAAGAAATCTTAAAACATGCTACTACATAATTGGCACCTTGTGTTGTAAAATTTAAGAAATCGGAATGCACTAAAATCATACTTTTAGGAGATGAATGTCTCAAACAAATAAAAAAAAAACAATCCATATCAATGAAATGGGTGATAGCAAAATGGAATCTTATTTCCACCTTCGTCATGTTTTAGAAATGTTTCAAGAAAGTATCAAAATATTAGAAGGAAGTAAAACTACATTTAAATTGCAAATAACAAGTCGCACAGAAAAGCAGTCTTTTGGGTCACGTGGTATGTTTAATGCAACACTGGTTCAAATTAGATGTCTGTGATGTCAAAATACTAAGTCTGTAGTTTTTACGAATTAGGAACTCAAATTACCAATACTGACGAGCTAGAATGTAAAATAAGAATCTGTATCTTTTTTATTTGCTGATATATCACTCCTGTACTGAATCAAACACAGTGGCCCCACTCACCTGCTTGCATTTTTGGAAACATTCCCTTATATACACTTACTTCTATATATGACATGAATAACCAATCAGAAGCTCAAAATGTCCCCTAGCAGTTTTTTTCAGTCTTTCTAACATTCGTTACACTATTTCTTTCTTTTGAATCAAGATTTCAATGAGATAGGTTGTGTCTTTAGTCTGCTTGAAATTTAATTTTTTTAGACCTAAATACAGCTTAGATAAATTATAGTAGAATTATATATATATTCCTCGTGTGAAATTTTTAAAGGCTTAGCAACCTACATCAAGCAGCATCCGAGTACAAAGGTCATAACTAGAAGAAATAATTGTTTGCTTTAGTTCTTCATTTATTGTTCTGTTTTAAGAAAGATAAGCTTAAGAATTTATTTCAAAATAGAAATAATCTGTATAGACATATAATGTATAGTAATTGAAATGTGACTATTTTAAAAACTACTAGTCAACTAGAACACAGCTAAGACAAGTTACTTTGAACAGAACAAAGGTCACCTTTATGTTATTTGATGTGGTAACATGAGTGCACGTGAGCCACGTCGTTGTAACTTCTGTATTGTTAGCGAAGCACTGGTGAAAGGTCAATATAATAAATATATATATATGTGTATATAAGGTTATGAGATTTACTGAACCCATACAGAGATTACTTACTGAAAATAACAGATAAAATAGTTTTTTTAAAAAAATGTTTGATAACTATCCAGACATTATAAAGATTTCACACGTGAAATTTCAAACTTTTCTGATGCATAAAAATATTTTTTATCTTAAAATGAAAATTACTTTGTATGATAGATAAGCAAGATGTGAAAGAAACAAAGGCATGAGAGATACATTGCTTTACAAACCTCAAGACTTAATAAAAAAGTTTGATATTTTGCGTATGAATGCATTGTAATGTTTACTGATAAACTACCAAATTTCATTAACGTTTGCTAACTAATTTAAAAGTTATAGCATGAAAACTATAACTAACGGGTTGAAAGAGTTATAAAGTGGAAATTACAACAATCTATTTGAAATAGTATTGTATATATTTATCATTCCATCAGCATCTGCTTTTGCGGAGAGAATATTTTCTGTAATAGAAACCAAAAGGAAATCTCTGTATGACTGATTTACTAAGAAGCAAATTATTAACTTGTATAAATAACAAAAGTACTTGGTCTGTATTTTCTAAGAGAATTTTAAGTAATAAAACTTTATTGGGTGCTGCAAAAGAGCAAAGAAAATAAAAATTTCAAATGGAAAGGAATTAAAGCTGACAAAAAAAAATTTGTTTTCAAATATACCTATATATTACAAGCTGAAATACCCATCAACTGAGAGGGGAATGTTTAAATTTAACTACAACAATGCAAGTTTAACAGCAATAATATATTAAAATTCAATAAGTTGAAGTAATATTCATTTTAAAATTAAAAACACTTATGCATCATAAAATTTTGAAATTTCACATATGAAATCTTTATAATGTCAAGAAAGTTATCAAATGTTTCTTAAGAAAAACTTTATATTTTATGTTACTTTCACTTCTGAATCTCTGTATAGGTTCGGTATATTTGACCGATCTTTCAATCACCATAAAAAATTAGGAAATAGATATAAATTATGCTTTTTTCATTCTAGAATGACTACAAATTATAACAAAAAACCACAACTGTTAAATCTAAATAGCTTAAATCTTGTAAGTTTATATACCTATATATATATGTATTTCATTTAAAAATTACCGAATCACCTAATATGAAGACCCCCCAGCAGAAGGGTTAATAAAAGTTGTACATTTTTGTCCACATAAGACTGATGTAACAGTGGCCACATCAAATAAATTTGCTAGTATGTTTATTAAACCATTAAGGTTTAAAAAACTTTGAGATCTCCCCAAAATATATGTGGAACATGATAGAAACATACGTTCAGACCAGTCAAAGAAAAAATATCACCATTTGATGTTATATTTGTTCAGAATTAAGCAGAAAGCCACACAATGGGTATCAAAACCTGGTTTCTATCATTGTACGTCTGCAGACATACTTTTATGCCACTGTGGGGCTTAATGTCATTACAGTAACACCTTTGGCTAAAATACCACATCTGAAGAAGGAAAACTTCATACAATTACAGTTTACAGGTGAAACCATGACAAATTGAACTGTATTTATGACTTGCACTGGGTATCACTTTTTACATCCAATTGTGATTCTATAATGCAAAATTGAATTAAAATTACCATTTTATAAAAGGATACAAACAATAATAAAAACACACGTGCAAAATAATACAATTATTTCAAAGAACAATTACTTCAAGTTCTATATACATGTATCCAAAGTACAGCATCTAATTCTGGCAGGGCATTTTTGTGCTCTTACTATTCCGTATAATTTTAAAGTTTGATAGTGTGAAGTGAAGGAAGAAGTTTCCCTAACTACATACCCAAGTTTAAAAATTAGACATTTTTTACTGTAGCCTACTTTTCATTATGCAGAATACACCCATATTATGCAACACTGACGTTATAGTATCGCACAGATATGCAAATTATGCACAACAATCAGTACACCCCCGTGATATACACTTCTACATAGTATTACTATAGATCAGTAAATTAACATACCACTCATGTAAATCGAACACTTAAAAGTGTAACATTAACTTTAATTAAAAGCCCTTCTACACCTCTACTACGATAATAATTAATTATACTACAATATAGAAAAAAAAAAACTTAGTGGAACATTTAACTTGAAGTCAACAGTCAAGCCTAACCCTAAAAGTAATCCACACTAAGGTCAAATTATGCCCTAAAGGTAATGGTATAGACACACTCCTCTAGCTTACTTTAGGCCTAACCCCACGCCTCCATGCTCACACGTTGCAATTGTTGTTAATTTACTTAACTAGTTCATCTGGCATTTCAGTAGTTAATACGTGTAACATCTATCACCAAGAGATCTCGAGAATTGAATTAGCAAATTTCAATAAGTACAAATTAGATATACAAATACTTATTTTTACAATACGTGAGACTAAACACTTACCACTGCCATGATGGCGATAAGCACGACAAAAAGAAAGGTTAGTGCGCATGTGTCTAACTAAGTAGCCCAGTGGTGAAACAATAAATTAATAATTTTTAATATTTAAAAAAAGTTATTTATTGTCAAAGGTGAAAATATCATAATATATAGAAATTACTGTATGCATTTATTTATACATATTTTTCCCTGTAATTAACGAAACAATATGCTATTTTTTATAAGCTTGGTTGTAGAATATGTCAGGGTTCTACATGTATGGTGTGTGGACAGGATTCTTTACAGTAGGTGTCTGTGATTTCTTGGTGATAAATTTCTATTGTAAACGGAACAGCACACAATCCACTTGCTTTAAAATAATATTTTCAAAACAAGTCAAACGTATGTATAAATGCTCGTTACACAGGTTAATCACGTCAGTTGTATCCACAGATTTAAATAATTCTCATTTACGCCAAAAGTCCACACAGGCTGGTTCAGTTACTTTAGAACCCAATTGACAAGAAGAATTATTCTACCTTACTATGTTATTACAATACAATTTGCAATTATTACATTTAAAAAGTCGCCACTATACTATTTATAGCTAAACTTAAAAACACAGTCTAGATCCATTTGACTATATCTCTCACTAGCTTTGTCTTAATTTCACTTTCACTAATTTGCTTACTTTAAAGCTCGCACAATACAAACTAAATGATACTATCATATTAAACTTAAAATGAACAATCATGTATAAGCTCCTGTTCAAGAAAACTATTTATGACATTTTTATATTATATACAAAGTCTATCATCAGTTCATGCACAAAGTCTATTCATACAGTCTGCACCAGCATTTGCAGTCCCATTGATAGCCTCAATGCAGAACCAATAATTCTGGAGATACAATGCCCACCTTATGGCCCTCACACTGTTAAATTTGCAAATCTGGTTATATGCAAGGGGCTGACAGTCCATCTGGATGATGAACTCTTTCCTGTAGAGGTAGTACTGGAACGTATAGATGGCAAATATGGTGGCCAGACACTTTCATTTGATCACAAAGTACTTCTTCTCACTACTCAACAGCTTTTTACTTATATACATTACTGGAAACAGTCTGCCTTCATGTTCTTGTAGCAGTACTGATCCAGTTCCTATGTTTGAAGCATTGACCTGAACGATGAACAATTTGTTGAAGTCTGGCATTCTAAGAATTGGTGTACTTTCAAACATGTTCTTTAACTTCTGGAATACCATCTACTGTGGCTGTTCCCACTTCATCTTTTTGGGTAGGCCTTTCTTGGTCACATCAGACAATGGTGCAACAACTTCAGTATAGTATGAGATGAGTTTCCTGTAGTATCCCACTAACTCTAGGAAGAATTTGACTTGCTGCTTGGTCATTGGAGTTGGTGCATCTTGTATGTGGGTTAGCTTCTCCTATTCCATGACTATCTACTTGGTCGCCCACCTTGTTTCCAACACTGTTCATCACAGAATAACTAACGTAGCACTTAGATGGCTTAATGGTCAGAACTGCTACTCTCACTTGCCTCAATAGCTCTCTAAGTTTCTTTAGGTGGTCTTCCCATATGATTGGGTCAGAATTTTGTCCACATAATGCTCAATGCTGGTGGTTTGTACAATATCTTCCTCATCATGAGGTCGATCTTGGGAAAGAATCTAGCCCCATCTAGCTTGCTATGGTAACTTCTAGGTTTCTCATAGGCAATGTTTCCTCTAATTTTTTCACTTCATGTGTGGAATGAATTTTTTTCCAGTATCAAGGAAATGTGTGGATGTGCACTAACAGTTTTTTAGGGGGGATTTTTAGGCATGTCAACTCCCATGGTCAATACGTTGAGACTCCTCACCATTGTTGTGGAACCAGGCAGCTTTGAGGAAACACTGCCCATATGTTCAGAGTTGAACTTCATAAGGAGGTTCAGTTTCCAGAAATCCACGCAAAAGCAGTTTCAGCCATCTCTTGTCTTCACAATTATAACTTGTGAACAGTAGGCAGACTTCAAAGGCTCAATGATTCCAGCTTCTAACATTACCTCGACTTCCTCCTTCATCAGGTTTCTCATTACATAGGACATCTGGTAAGACTTCACCTTGAATAGATCCCTGGTCATGGTATCAATCTTCTTTTGCACAAGGTCTGTCTTGCCTGGTCTATTTGTGACGAATTCTGTATACCGGTACAGTAGATCTTGTAGCCATAGGTGAATGGAGAATTTTTCAGAGGGGGGTGTACAGTTTTTGCACAAATAAAGTTATGTGTGAGAAACTACTGCTACCAGTTTTTATCAAGTGAAGGTAAAAATTGCATGAATCACTACATTTTCTGCTTCTAATTTTGCCTGTATGAAAATCGAAAATTTGCCCAAATCACCATATGTATTGCAAGTTAGAGGAGCTGCTGCTCACAGCCTCCGCCTCATATGCCTGTGCTTGTAGCTCTTTCTTCTGTATACCAGTCAGTTCTTCACTTATGTTGACATCCCTGTACATCTCATCTCCATCCAGTGGTCTTAGGTCTAATAGGTTTTCATTTTCTATGACAAAGTCACTGTCTTCTGGTTCTGTGTCTATGACAGATACACCTGCCATGTCCATCTGTGCCTCAATAACTGCACATATTAGGCTTTTTTATCCTCGAAATACCTCTTCAACAGATTGGTGAGGTAGACCTTGGTCTTCCCGACAACTTTTACCTTAAAGTCTAATCTATTGAGCACTTCCAGCACTTCGAAAAGTCCTTTCCAATGCAGGGTGAGTTTGTTGTTGTCTGTAGGTAGCAGAATCAAGACCTCTGTCCGACCTTGAAACATTGATCCTTAGTCTTCTTGTCATAGAAGTACTTCTGACTGCCTTTAATACTGTCTGTCACCTACTTTGCTCCTAGGTGTCCTCCAACAATCAACTCGTGAGCCAACTTCATCACTTTTCTGTTCGATCTATCTAATTTCCCTAGTAGAACTGCTTTGATAGATCTGGTACAGCACTTCCTGAATTCTGTAACTCCTCTTCCCTTTAGTCTTTTGCTCCACTTCCTCCTTGGCACTGTCCCAAACTTTCTGCAGCAAAGGATTTTTATTCTGTGCTTTCTTCAGTTTCTGTAGAACTACATTCGGGACTTCACTTTTTGAGACTTCAAGGGGATTAGTATTTTGCTTACTTTTCTTTTCTTGAGATCTTGTGATGACTGCAAATGCCTCATCAGTCTCCTTTCTGTCTTGTTCCTCCAAACTTCTACTTCCCAGTAGATTGATAGTTGTAGATTGGTGCCTTCATACACGTGGTTCCAAACTTTCCATGTAGTATGGAGTGTTTATCTTTATTCTTGCTATGGGAAACCTTATCACTGTTCCATCAATCATCACACACACTGAGATACACCTTGCCTGTCATCTGACCATCAGATGCTTAACTGGTTCTCACTATTGTAACCAATGTCTCGTAGGATATCACTTTTTTCTCCCCAACATAGCCTTCACCTAATGGTATGTGTGCTTTGTTGGCACCTCTCAATGTTTGTCACATGCTCCAATCACCATTAGCACTGTTGACTCATTTGCTAATTTTAGCTGACCATCAACCATGCACTGTTTAATGATGGTGGAGAATCTGACAAATTATCTCTAGTCTGTTTCTTCTGGCAGCCATACCCATGGTGACAGTCATTCTTTTCTTGTTGCTTGCCAGCATCTTTTTGTGAGTAGCTCCAGCTACTTTATATGGAAATTTCTGCAGCTACTTGTAGGGAACAGACTTGCACTCATTCACAATATGTCCCATTTTATAACAAGCATAACATCTCTTCTCCCTTCTGTCTATTGACATCTTGTCACCTTTTTTGACATCCTGTTTCTGGCCAGTTACTCTTCGTTTGAACTTTAACTGGATTCGTGGACTCCATATACTATTCTGCCAGCTTGTTGTCCCTAAATATTATGTTATACTATATAGCGTGGGTGTAACCACTACAATATTTTCGCCACCACTACAGCTGTGCATATGTAGGCCTATTTCCACTGTCGTTCACGTTTTATTCTACCTCCGTTTACCACTGAATAATTCTGGCTGGATAGCCAAATGTCAGGTTTCTACTATGTATTTTGTGGACAGGATTCTTTATAGTAGTTATCTGTGATTTGTTGGTGATTAATTTCAACAATAAACGGGCAGCACACAATCCACTTGTTTTGAAATAATATTACGACAGCGGAAATCACCTGACGCTGGTAACACATAATGAGTTCTAAATGTTGGTCAACTGTTACATTTAGGTAACATTAACTCGCCCAGCAAACTAAATTATAGTGCTAATCCCTTCAACCTAGATGCTATATGTCAGCAGTTCTCAACCCTTTTGATACCAGGGACTGACTCACTATCTCTCAGAAATGTTGCAGACCATTAAGATACAAGTAGAACGAAAAACTATTACAATTTACATATGAACATTCTGTCAGTTTTTGTTTGTTTGTTTTCGGGAAATTACACGGACAGGTGATTGAGAAACACTGCTATTTGTAATTGTACTATCCTCTCAGGCAGAGAAGACATTATCAATTATAAAAAAAAATCAAAGCAAATATAATAAAGCAGTGTTAGTAACTTTCTAGACTACATATATATTTAAAATTACATAGAAAGCAGATAAGCGAAAACTGTTAATCATTTCTATATCACTAAATCAGGTAGAAAATATACTATTAGCAGATATATTGTTACGTCTCTGGTCGTTTGTTAATTTCCCGTATAATTTCTTTCGGATGAAACTTTAGTGACACAAGTTCTTTCTTAAATAAAACTAGTTTATTCTTTGTCAATACAACTTTGCAATACACTTAATTTCCACAGTCACTTTAACTTAAACACACGCGATAATTCACAATGATTGATTCACTTTAATTACAGTCACACCTCGCTTGACTCAATTGTAGGTCTCTATCTCTGCCTGTCTGCAATTCAATTGCTGCTGTCACTTTATTTGCTGGCTTAAATACTGGTCGTATGTTATTTTACCGTAAACATTCCTTCCTAAAAACTTCAGCGATAAATGTCCTTTCTTAAATA